TGTGTGTGTGTGTGTGTGTGTGTGTGTGTGTGTGGGAATGTCACAAAGAAACCCATTATTTTGTAGAAATAATATATGCTAATAATTGCTATTAAAAAAGAATTTTATGACCTCTTGTTTACAAATTCAGATCCATAAGGTTTCTATAAACTAATTTGATGTAACTTCTCTACATAATTTTTCATTTCAAACTTAAGCTAAGCCAGTTTTTGCACACGGAAAACTTTCCAAGTATTCGAAAGTATTTCTTTTATACTTACCAAGTACTGTTTTGGTTGATTACTTTTTGCAGTGTTGGGACTGGTACTGAGGGCTTCACACATACTAAGCAAGTGCTCTACCACCGAGCTATAGTTCAGCCTTTATATATATGTATACACACACACACACACACACACACACCGTATACACATGTATGTATATGTTAGAGGAGAGGCAGTACTGGGGATGGAACCCAGCACCTTGCAATTGCTAAGTATGCACTCTACCACTGAGCTAAGTGCTTAGTGCTTAAGGTGATAGTGCGAAATGGTTAGTCCTCAGCTAATATTATGTGTTGGGTCTGGGGAGCTCTACCCCAGTGCACTCAAGCACCATTCTTGACAATAGGAATCCAGCAAAGTCAAACAAAGTCCTCACTGTCATGAGGTTTATGTATATGCTGGGAAATAGACAATAAATGAAGTTACACTAACACACACATGCATGCACACATATATATATGGAGTGATAGAGCCATAAATAAAAATAGAACAGAGCTGAGGGAATGCTTCTTTTGATGGGGTGATCAGGAAAAGCCCGGTCTTTGAATGGAGAATTGAGCTGGAGAGCCACACAGCCATCAAGAGAAGGGGACCCTCCAAGGGAAGGACTGGTAAGGCAAAAGCTGCAGAGGTAGAGTGTTCCAGAAGCTCAATGCTCACAGGATAGCAAAGGAGATTGGTCTGGCCAAAGTTGAGTGAAGGAGAAGGGAAATGCTAGGAGACAAGATCAGCAGAAGACCAATCACAGGGTCTTCTGGACAGTGGAAGGGTTTGTATTTTGTTCAAAGATGGTTTTGAACAGGAAATGACATCAGCTGGATTACATTTAAAGATTCTGCATAGCCAAATAGAAAAAGACTGAATGGCTCAGGAGGTCAAGCAAAAACACAAAAGCTTTATCAAGAGTCTTTTGTAGTTGGCCAAGCTAAAGATGATTCTGGCTTGGACTAGTGTGGCAGTGATCGACCTATAAGTAGTAGGATGCAAAATGCATAAGGTTGCAGATGGAAATCTGATATAGTGGATGAAAAAGAGGAGAGAAATGACTAAGATTCAGGTCCAGAGAAATGAATCAGGCTCCATGCCTGCCAATAATCTAGGAATTTGGGAGGCTGAGGTAAGAGGATCACAAGTTTGAGGCCAGACTCAGCAAATTAGCAGGACCCTGTTTTAAAAAAAAATAAAATAAAAAGGGATGGGGATGTAGCTCAATGGCAAAGTACCCCTGGGTTCAATCCCCAGTACCAAAGGAGAAGGAAGAGGAAGAAGGAGAAAGAAATGGCATTAGTTTAACGATAGTGCTGTTTATTAAGATATTGAAGAGTAAGAGCTGTAGTTCTATTTCATATAGCATGATTGACATGCCTACTGGCCTTCTGTGGGGAGATTCCAAGGAGCATCCTCAATGTTCTTGGAATATATATACAAGACAGAAAGAGCAAGTCAGAAGAACTATGAGAGTCTCCATCACTTTCATGGATATTGAGCTCTTACTGTGTGACAGGCAGGTTTCCAAGTATAATCTCACCAAAAAGGTGAATACTGTCTTTTCCATTTTATAGATTAAAAAACAGAAAGCATAATATCTGAGGCTAGCCAGAGTATATAACTTGCTCAAGGATACAATAATACCAAGTGGTAGGCTTCAAACTCAGACATCTCTTTCCCTCCAGATATAATTAACTCTGATGAAAATAAGTAATGGTTAAATGTGTCAAGTGATTTTCATTTTTCTCAAAAGTCAAAAATTTAAAGATCAGCCTTAAATTTAAAATGTGAACAATTCTCAAGTAATATAACTTAAACGTGAATTTTGAAAGAAATGACGTGAAATTGGTTTGCTGTCATAGTCAACTGAAATTGAGTGCTTTCTTAGTGAAAATAATTTTTCCCTTCCTTGTGTCATTTTTAAGGCATCAGAGTCTGAATATGTACATTCTAAAATGGCTGCTTATTTTGAGAAATCCAATTTGCATATATAGTGGTGATCCTAAAATCCATTAAGTTTGACCCTTCCTGGTGAAAAAAGAAACAGGTTGATTATTATGCAAAGGTACCTAGAATCCTTTATGCTTTGTGGGTTTATTTAACAAAGTGCATTTGATATCGAGCTATCTAATAATAATGAGAAGAATTTTTATACCTCCAGTGAGGAAAAAGGCAAGCAAACCTCTTTAATGCATAGTATTTTGTATGAGAAATGACATGAAAGGCAGTAAATGTTTCTTGATGAAATCAAAGCATTATAGAGAATTCAAATTTGGACCTTTTTATATAAATCTCCAATTTCCCTTGAGCTTCTACTCATGTCTCTTTTTCTAATATCTCTTTTTCTAACAAAATCTTTATGGTATCACAAAAATTAATGTAAACTTTCCATAGAATATGTGTTTTCAAACTATTATTTCACTATTACAGAAGCAAAATATGTAAATTGTAGAAAACTAAGAATACTATACACCAAAATGAAATGATCACATTCTTACCACTTGGGATCATTAATGTTAAAATCTAGACTTTCTCTGTGTCCACATACATAGTTTTAGTTCAAGAGTACAAAATCACATTTTACATATAGTTTTTTAACCTGCTTTTTCACGATCTCCGACTTTCCATCTCAATAGTCATCTAATAAACAGGCCATATTACAATATCTGACCCAAAAATAGGTTTCAAAGCTGGTATGTCTAGAGCAGATAAAATTTAAGATCATTTGTTGAATCAGGACCATATGACCCATAAGTTTTCTCTTGTATATTATTTTGGTTTTTAATCTAGTGAAGCCCCTTGTGGAAGAGACTTGGACAGTTGTTCCTTGGAATGCCCCAGCTTCTGATTTGTCTGAATACCTCCCGGATGGAGAAACTTATCCTGTTTCTCCATCCCTTGCACATTTCCCACAAAGTGAACCTTAGATTAAGTCTCGATGGATTCAAGTTAACCACTTTGACTTTGAATACATCACAGATGATGTCTTTGTATCTTATGTGGGCACATAACAACATCTGTTTTAACCTCCTGCGGCAAATGTAAAATTAACTGGCTTGGCCTGGTGTTACTCTGATTCCTCCATCATATAGTGACAATAGATTACAAATATTTTTAAATCTCCTGAATTTGTATTTTTATTAAATTGGAAATCGACTAATTTGAGACTCAAAAATGTCTGA